GCAGGCGCACACACGGACACACACAGACAACCCCTCGTCAAAATGCGTTTTTCGCATTGCATTGCTGAAAAAAACGCATAAAAAGAAGGGAGTTTTCAACTTTGATTTTAACAAGGCATCCGCTGTCTGTCGCATCCCTTTCATGTTTCCGGAATATTATTAGTTTATGAATTTTAAGTATTCAAAACGCTAAAGCATGCATAAATTTCGAATGCAGAGTTTGTGAAAAACAGTCTAATCTTTGTGTCATATAAATTCCTTTAGTAACTTTCATCAAGGGCTACATTTGTATAATTTTGTTTTCCATTTCAAGAATTTGAACGTAAAGAAGAGAGCCGGCAGATACAAGCAAATTTTTTACTGCTTTAAAGAGACACATGCAAAGAGAAATGGTTTTTGAAGTACGAAATGAAAAGAGCAACATAGCCACGAACAGTTCTAAAAATTCTAGTGGATTGCTAAATTTACTTGCAAAAAGATATGCCAAAATTCAGAATTTATTTCAAACGAGCGGCATTCGAGTATAAAGCTAAAAGCTTGCGAAATTTTCATTGGGCAAATGAAAATTACTAAAAAAAACAACAAAAATGAAATTAGCAAAACGACTATACATCATCGTTGTTGCACCTTGACAGCAGATAGGATGAGACCACCGGTGATGAGCTGTTGCATGACGGGATGCGAACGATCCGGTATTATCTGATACGCACGATAGAATGCATCCACTACTTGTACCTGTACCGCATTCTTCTCTTTCAGCCAATGATAGGCCGAGTAAAGGGGCTGCAAAAATCATAATTATCATAATGCCTGAAAAAAGCTCAAAATTCAAGAATACATATACAAAATTAGCTACTGCAGCTATCCTAACCTACCAAAGCGCATACTTTTCGTCAGCACGTGCCGGCTTTTTGTGCGACTTTCATGGAAGTCTAGGAAGTTGACTTGTCCAATGCCTAAATTACCAATATCACGAAGAGAGGCCAGAGGCAATCAGTGTGATGGCTCTGTTACTAGTAACATACTGGGATATACCCGCAAATGCAGCTCTGCTAGGACTTTCAATCCCAAGTTCACTGGCGGATCCAGGGGTAGAGGACGAACTCCCTTTCCCAGGGGTTCAGGCAGCAGCTGTTTTACTGCAGAAAACTCTGTTCGATATCCCGTGCTGCCCCCCCCCCCCCCCCCCC